AAATAAAATCCTAAAAATTCTGTTAAAATCTTAAAAATAATGAATGTAACCGTTATATAAGGGTCTATACGACGACGTACACCTGCATAGACATCTTTTGGAATAACCATTACAATATTCAAATGCGAAACTTGAAAAAAAAAAAAAAATCAATGAATAATTAGCTAAAATCATCAATATACCGAATATACGGAGGTATTATTATATGGACCTGCACAGATAATTTTCTATCATAGGCTGTAGTATTTAAAACAATTCCGGTGAACAATTTCGCTAAAATCATCAAAATACCGAATATCGGGAGGTGGGGGCTATACGAAGACGTGGACCTGCACAGACAATTTTCTATGATAGGCTGTAGTATCCATTGCGAACTTCTAATACCAAATTTAAAACCATTCCGGTGAACAATGTCGCTAAAATCATCAAAATACCGAATATCGGGAGGAGCCGTTATATGGGGCTATACGAAGACGTGGACCTGCACAGATAATTTTCTGTCTTAAGCTATAGTATACATTTCGAACTTCAAATACCAAATTTGAAAGAATTCCGTTGAATAATGTCGGTAAAAACAACAAAGTACCGAATTTCGGGAAGTACCATTATATGGGGGCTATACGACAATTTTCTGTTTTAGGTTGTAGTATCCATTTCGAACTTCAAATACCAAATTTGGAACAATTTCGGTGAATAATATCGCTTAAATCACCAAAATACCGAAAATAGGGAGGTACCATTATATAGGGCCTATATGAAGACGTGGACCTGCACAGACAATTTTCTGTCACAGGCTGTTATATCCATTTCGAACTTCAAATACCAAATTTGAAACAATTCTGGTGAATAATGTCGGTAAAATCATCAAAATACCGAATATCGGAAGGTGCCGTTATATGGGGCCTATACGAAGGCATGGATCTGCTTGGACAATTTTCTGTCATAGGCTGTAGTATATATTACGAACTTCAAATACCAAATTTGAAACATTTCCAGTGAATAATATCGCTTAAATCACCAAAATACCGAAAATAGGGAGGTACCATTATATGGGGGCAATACCAAAACGTGGACCTACATTTCCCATTTTTAATACCAAAAGTCCTGCAGACATAATATACAGGGTGAGATAAAAAAACTGCAACAAAGTCAAACGCCATAATTTTTACATTTTTTTTTTAAATTTTATTGAGTGGAAGAAAAAAATGTCGGAAATAGCATCAAATTTTAGAAGAAGTTTAGATTTGTTCGAATTTGTCACCTTTGGCTCGAATTATGGCCTTCAAACGGCCAATGAAATCGTCACACGCTGCCCGAATGTTGCTCTGCGGTATTTTGGCCCATTCCCGGCGAAGCGCTTGCTTGAGGTGATCGACACTTTGGTATTTTTTAGTGCCAACCTTGATTTCCAAAATACTCCAGACACAATAATCCAACGGATTGGTATCCGGAGATTGGATTTGGAGATTTTTGTGCGCTGGAAATGAAGCGAGTAACCTCATTTTGTAACCATTATTGGGTGGCGCGTGTTGAGTCCTGTTGGAATATCCAAGCTCTGCGGTCAAAATTTTTGCGTGCCCAAGGCTCTAATATACCCTTCAGGATATTTTCGCGATGATATTCGGCATTTATTCTGATGCCACGGTTGGTTAATACGAGTGGAGAGCGACCATCGGCTGTTATGGCGGCCCTTACCGTCAGCATGACCGGCGCTTGAGTTATGGTGACCAACCGAAAGTGCACATTTTCAGCTGATCTCTTTGGGAAGTAAACTCGATCATTTTGTTTGTTTACAAATGGCTGGACAACGAATGTTTTCTTATCGGAGAAAACCAAGAAACCCCAGTTCTCCACTTTCGGCCAAGCGAAGCAACTCTTTAGCTCTTTTGATTCTTTTTTTCTTTCCATTGCCGTGTAAGTTCTTGCACGTTTTGGAATTTCAATGGCCTTACCCCGAGCTCATTTTTCAATATTTGCCGAATGGAATATTGCGAGCTCACGAGCCATTTTTTTGGCGACGCGGGTTTCAATAAAGTCGCTTCTTTACTTTTCGAACCTTTTTTTGTTGATATTGCTGTTTTCTTCCGTCCACTTCCTTGACGTCGGGCTACGCTACCAGTATCCAGCATTTAAATGCTGGAGTGCTCTAACGATAGCCACTTGTGGTTTTCCAGCCACAAATAAAGAAATCACACTATCACGCTTGAATTCCATCACGAATAACTTTTTTTCTTTAAAATTCTTCACAAAATGCTTTTTTACGTTTGTAAAAAATATGATGAGCTGTCACTGGAATAATTTTAACAGATGTCGGACGAGTGGCTTAGAAATGACAGCAGTCTGAAGTTGGTTGCAGTTTTTTCATCTCACCCTGTATACATTCAAACGACCAACTTAAAAGATTCGCTAAAATGATAAAACCATCAGTGGTATCCATAAATGCCAGGAATGAATCCTAAAATCCTCCATTAGAACGTTTTTTTACAAAACACTTGAATTTTTTCTATTTTTCTAGCGATTAAAATCGTTATGCGACATTGACATCACTGTTAACAATTTAATGAGAACACATAACATCTGTTTTCAGTTTCTTATCAGTTGAAATTAACAGCTTTTATTTTATTTACATGGAGAGTCCTAAATAAAAACAACTGAGCACAATGTGAGCATGAGAGATCGCAAATCAGACTCATTTTTTAACAATATTTAAATAAAGCTTTGCAAAACGTCTCTGACTGATATTTGTTTACGTTTATGAAAGCGTTGCCATTTTTTGGTACTTTTTTTCCGAACAATATTTAGTTAAATATTAAAGAGTCATATATATTATGAGAAAGATTGTTTAAAAAACAGATTATTTAAAGAAAGATTATTTAAAAATCGTAGAAAAAAGAATTTTTGGTTTTCGTACTTACCTAAGGAAAAAAGGAAATGAAATCAAACAAATCTTGATTGTCTGAGTAGCAATTGCTTGTCTGCCTTGAACAAAAGTTCTGTGAACGGGCTCTTAACCTGTTCGTAGTTTCAATTGATCGCAGAAAAAATATTGTGAGAAACGACTAATCGATTACAAAGGTGTCTTTAAAAAAAATACGAATATAGTTCTTTCAAAAATATTTCTTAAAAAAAAAAAAAAAAAAACGTAAAAACTAAACTAAAAAACTAAAACTAACTAAAAAAATCAAGATTAAAATCCTTATTATTGAAACAATATTGTGAAAGAATCAATGATTATTTAATAAAATATTATAAAAAATCCACCAATTTCAAAAAAAAATCACGATTAAAAAAATATTGCATGACTACTCAAAAAAAAAAAAAAAAAACCTAAAAATCCACCAAATTCAAAAAAAAAAAAAATTAAAATTAACTATTATTCAAATAGATTAAAAAATCACGGTTATAAACTAAAAATTTATGAATTCTCCGATAATAAGGAAAATCACAATTAAAAAAATATATTCTACGATTATTCACCCGAATTTACAGCTTTTAAGCCTTTTTAAGCGTGATTTTTGAATCTATTTGAACAATAGTAATTTTCATTTTTTTTTTTGGAATTTGGTGAATTTTTAGGAATATTTTTTTTTTTTGAAAAGTCATGGAATATTTTTTTAATCGTGATTTTCTTAATTTTCGGAAAATTTTTTTCATAATCGATTTTTTTTTGGAAATTGGGCGGGGCGGGGCGGACCGAGTTTTTAATACCACCTACCATTTGGAACGAATTTGGAAATTTTCAAAAAAAAAAGATAAATTCATTCCGATAAAAATTCTGTTAAAATCTTAAAAATACTGAATGTAGCCATTATATTAGGGTCTATAAGACGATGTGGACCTGCATAGGCAACTTTTGTCATAACCATTGCATTATTCAAATGCGAAACTTGAAAAAAAAATCAATGAATAATGAGCTAAAATCATCAAAATACCGAATATAGGGAGGTACTATTATATGGGGGCTATACCAAAACTTGGAACTGCACAGACAATTTTCCGTCTTCGACTGTATTATACATTACGAACTTCAAATACCAATTTTGAAATAATTTCATTAAAAAATGTGGCTACAATCACCAAAATACCGAAAATAGGGAGGTACCATTATATAGGGCCTATATGAAGACGTGGACCTGCACAGACAATTTTCTGTCACAGGCTGTTATATCCATTTCGAACTTCAAATACCAAATTTGAAACAATTCTGGTGAATAATGTCGGTAAAATCATCAAAATACCGAATATCGGAAGGTGCCGTTATATGGGGCCTATACGAAGGCATGGATCTGCTTGGACAATTTTCTGTCATAGGCTGTAGTATATATTACGAACTTCAAATACCAAATTTGAAACATTTCCAGTGAAGAATATCGCTTAAATTACCAAAATACCGAAATTAGGGAGGTACCATTATATGGCGGTTATACCAAAATGTGGCCCTTCATGACCCATTTTCAATGCCAAAACTCCTGCAGACAAATTTAAGTAAAGTAAATTTTATCAACCTACTTCATTTCGTTCGGAAGGTAGAATGATTTCCACAGACGGACGGACGGATAGATGGACAGACAGACACGGACGGTTATCGTTAAATCGACATAGATTTTTCTGCTGATCATGAATATACTTTGTGGGGAATGACAAATTTAATTTACCCTCCATACTATGGTGGAGGGCACAAAAATGCAAAATTTTTCAAATTTCATAACTATTTAAAAAGTCTTTTTAACAATCCACTATTATTAAAAAATTAAGGATTTTTGAAAAAACAATATTCTTTAAAATTCTCTGATTATTCAGTTATTATTGAAAATATTCTTAAAAAAATCCACGATTATTAAAATTTATTCTTCAAAAACATGGATAAATAATATTTATAATATTTATTATTTATGGAAAAAACGAAGGTTTAAAAAAAAGAAATTGTATTGCTTTTTATAAAGATAAAGAATTCCTGTATAGTTTCTTCAAACTACAAAAGATAGTGAACACACCCAATAAACCCATTGAACTGACATAAATTATATGTAGCATTAAACAAGTTATTTAAATATTAACTCTCAAACTTTGTGTAAAGAAAATTTTTCCTATGGATTTGTGAGAATTTTAACACCTTTTTTCAATAATAAATCATATTTTGTTATCTAAATTAGGTGAGAAGACAGGAAAAAGAAACGGAAGAGAACTGCTCTCTCTAGGGAGAGAAGAAGAATTGCAATGTGAATCACTGCAAAATGAAAGCTAAACAAAAACGTATGGGCCAAACAAACGGGCATTCATTTGTTGTTTGCGCCCATTTTATGCAACTCTGTTGCGAATGATTAACACTGAGCGAGAATGCCAAGCTGAGCTTTGCGTGTGAGAGTGAGAGAACTGAGTATTTGGAAATTAATCACAAAAATAAAAACAATGTGAAAAAACTGGTATCTCTGCCTGTTGAAACATGCAGTTAGGCAGGCAGACCAACGACAACCTTTCAATGCCTGGCTCAGTTGCCAATTGTTGTTGAAGTTGAAAAGACGTTAAAATAAATCGTTGTTTATTAACAAAAGAAACGCTGTATGAATAATAAAAAAAAAAAACAAACAAAATCGCGGAATAAAAAAAAACAACAGCAACAAATAAATTATAACACACAAGTCTATGCTGGGGCTGTGTTTACTTTTAACAGCGATAAACAAATTAATAAAAAAAAAAACAGAAAAATAAATACATTTCAATAAATTATTTCTGCGAATTGGCCACAAAACCGAAAAACAAATAAAGAAGCACAACAAAATCACAAGAAAAAAGGTTAATATTTGTCAATTTTATGCCCAGTGTTATTTGGAAATAACTGAAATAAATGTGACAATTTAAAAGGAAAAAAAAATATTTAAAAAAAATAAGAAAAGAAAAAATATTGGAAATAACTGAAATAAATGTGACAATTTAAAAAGAAACAAATATTGAAAATAATAAGGAAATCTAAAAGAACCTGATAAAAAAAGTTAACAAAAATTACCACAACATGAAGTTATTATTACTTTTTTTCAAAATACCTATTTAATTATGCAAACATCTGAGGAATATTTAATTGAGTCTGGCTGCTGCCCTCTGCGTTTTGTTTTTGTTGCATTGCCAATAAAATGAAATTTAAGAAGGAGAGAATAAAACAAAACGGCAAAATAAAAAAAAAAAATATGAACAACAATAAGATAATATTAATATACAATTATTATGAAGCGGAAAATTTTAAAAATAACTTGAGAAGTGTAGGGAATATGTATTATTTTTGCGGTTTAGAAACTGAATCCATGCAGCTAGACTAACTTGACACTTGTAAGACGGCTGTAGCCGACAAAAATATAACCTAGGCGTTTATAACTCACATTTGTAGATATATCTAAACACTTCTACGCGAAAAATACAAATTCAGAATATCAAATTGACATTAATTTGAAATCGGATCGGGAAAAATTTGAATGCTACTTAGGATAAGAATTTGAAAAAACATTTCCCCCCAAAAAAAAAAAAATGAAAACTTGAACACGTTAATCGTTTTACTGCATCGTATGAAAATAAAAAGTCCAAAAGTCTATGATCTCAAAATCGAAACTCGATTGCAAAATTGGTTGACTTTGTTACACTCACCATAGGCAAAAGTAGACTTCGACTTTTCAACACCAAACACCGAATTGCGTATTCGTAATAGAAACTGAACTTATTGGACTATTCTGGCGATCATTAAAATGCGTTAGAGGAAGCAGTAAATACATGAAGAAAGAATTTCTGTGCCATGATCTGGGTACCATAACTAGATTCCGGTCTCACGCAAAGCGGGTGATTAGGGTTCCTCTTCTCTGGAAAAGATACGGAAAAGTTATTATACCCTCAGTCATATGGCTAGAGAGGGTATATATTATTTGATACGGTCAAAACGTGTCTTATCGAAAAAACGGATTTAGACTTTAGGTATCTTTGAACCAAATCCGTTTCAGGACATTTGGAGTCGATTTTGCGATGTCCGTCCGTCTGTCTGGTTGGATGGTACGAACAATAAGGGAGTATCCGATTTGGTCCAAACTTGGTAAATTGTAATATTATTGTCAAACTTAGATTGATTTCGGAGATGGGCAATATTGGTCCACTCCCTCAGGTACCTCCCACACAATATGTAATGTAAGAGTCCAATTGTCTTCAAATTACACACATCGCAATATATTTATTAACCCAGGGTCTGGTGTGAAGATGGAATATATCAGTCCACTTCTTCTGGTACCTCCCCCACAAAGGGTAAAAATTTTGTATATCCATGAAGCTCATAAACCGAGAAATGAACTTCCGATTTCATTCAGACTTGGCATATCTCAATATTTCTATCAACACAAGATATGGTAGAGATCGGAACATTTGTTCTGGTACCTCCCCACAAAGGGTCAAAGTTTTGAATAACCAAAACGATTATAAAATCCGAAATAAGCTTCCGGTTCCCTTAATATTTCACACATCCCATTATTTCTACCCACACAAGATCTGCTGTAAAGATAGAATATATAGGTCCACTCCTTATGGTACCTCTCCCACAAAGGGTCAACATTTTGAAAATCCATGAAGCTCATAAAACTCGAAATTAACATCCGATTTCATTCAGACTTGGCACATCTCAATATTTCCATTTACAAAAGATCTGTTATAAAGATGGTAGAGATCGTCCTCTTTCTTATTGTACCTCCCCAACAAAGGGTCAAAACCAAAACGATTATAAAATCCAAAATAAGCATCCGGTTTATTTAATTGTACATACATTCCATTATTTTTACTAGCACAAGATCTGCTGTGCAGATGGGATATATCGGTCCAGTCCTTCTAGCACCTCTTAAACAAAGGTTCAAAATTTTGAAAATCCATGGAGCTCATGAAACGGGAAATTAACATCTTATTCCATTTAGACTTAGTACATCTCAATAATTCCATTAACACATAATCTGTTACAGAGATGGTGGAGATCGGACCATTTCTCCTGGTACCACCCCCACAATGGGTCAACATTTTAAATAATCTTGAAGCTTATAAAAGGCTATCGAGCATTCAATTCTCTTCAAATTTCCCACCACCCAATATTTCTACTAACACAAGATCAGCAATGAAGGTGGGGTATATCGGTCCTTCCAATATTTCTACTTTCTTAGGATATAAAATATTATTGACCCAACCCACATGGTACCTTTCTCCCAAAGGGTCATAATTTTCAATACTTATGTTTCTCATAAGATGCGAAAGAATTCAGTGATTCTTTTCAAAACATGGAGAAGGAACCGAGATAGACCCATAATTACTTTTGAGGATCTTCATAGAATCCTTCCTTCCCGTCCTTCCGTCTGACCATGTGTTTTTATGAACAAAATGCGATTGAGATGAAATTTTCCAAAAAATATTTGTTTGGTCCAAGGACGAACCCTATTGAAATTGGTGAGAATCGGTTCAAATTTTGACATTGCTCTCATATATTTTCAACCGATTTCGGGTTAATTGTGCACCAACTGGCCAATATCAGTACAAATAACCTGAAATTTGGATATTTCGACTGAATTAATCCTAGGAGCAAGAACATAAAGTTTGGAGAAAATCGGTTTAAATATAGCTATAGCTCCCATATATGTGTTTCATCCGAATTGGAGTTTAAAGTCCCTCACATGCGTAATATGCACTCTACAAGAATGACATTTGGTACCAGATATCACATACAGCCCAGAAATAAGTGTTTAAAATATTGTCAAGATCGGTTCAGATTTGGATATAGCTGCCATATATATCTTTATCCGATTTCAGGTTTTTTGTCCACCAAATGACTAATATCAGCCCAAATGAACTGAATATTGGCACATCCGACGGAATACAGCCTGGAATCAAGTACTTTAAATGTAGATGAAAATCGGTTCAGATATAGCTATAGCTCCCATATATATGTTTCATCCGATTTGGGGTTTTAAGTCCCTCGCATGTGTAATAGACACTCCACAAGAATGATATTTGGTTTTATCCGATTTCAGGTTTTTTTTGCACCAGGTTTTTTTGCTGAATCTAAAAGTGGAATATTTTCAAAACTTGATTTTTGGTACCAATGGCGCCCAAATAGTTTATCGGAGGTCGGGCGCCATAATTACTGTATCTCCAGTTTTAGGCGTCATGGGCAACTAATGTTGGCAACATTTTATAATTTCTTTTATGTTTTCTATTTTTTATGCTTTCGTTTTTTTCGAAAATATTCTTGTGAATATAATTTCCAATTAACGAAAATACCTTAATAACTTCTTTAAGTTCAATTTTTTGGTTCCAATTCAAATGCTAATAACCTAACATTTTTCATGCGTATCAATGACGTATAGGGGGAATCCTCATCAATACGTCATAGAACGTAATGTAAATTTATTTCGACCAAATCCACAAAAAAAAAAAAAAAGAAAAACGTGTAAAAAACATAAAAATAGCTCTTCTTTTGTAATGTAACGCTGTTGTGTTAATTACTCAATTCAAATGAATAATTATACAGGAGGCTGCCATATTTAAATGATAATTAAATAGAAAATTATACAATATTTAACCAACGCCAACTTAACTATAATTAAATATTAATAATGAAAGTAATTGGTGTCCAGGGGACCAGTTTTGTGCCATGCATGCATGCATGGCATCAAATGGTAGCCTTAATTTGATAGATGTATAAATTTGATAAAAAAAAAATTAAAAAAAAAATTAAAAAAAAAATAAAAATTGAAAAAAAAATTAAAAAAAAAATTAAAAAAAAAAAAAAAAAAAAATTAAAAATGTAAAAAATTAAATATTAAAAAAAAATTGAATATAAAAAAATTAAAAAATTAAAAATGTAAAAAATTAAATATTAAAAAAATGAATATAAAAAAATTAAAAAAAAAATAATAAGAAATAAAAAAGTATCAGTCGGTTTTGCCGACAGCTGTGTACCCCTAGCCTCGAGTTATAATTGTTCAAACTGTTGACTCTTTATGGGGGAGGTTCCGAAGCAGTTGGCCACTATTGACCATTTCTTATCTGACCTAAGACTGATATAAATATTACAACTTGCCAGATTTGGACTATATCGACTACTTTTTCTTATACTTTATATGATATATGTGCAAATTTTTGGAAAATAAGGAAATATGCGTTAGATGCCAGATATAGGGGACCGAAGTATTCCATTTTCTTACTTCATCTAATACAGATAAAAATATTGATGTAGGCAAAATTAAAAGAAAATCAAACATTTATATTCAATTTTATGCAGAATCATAAATTTCCATAAATCACATATTTATATCAGATTTGTGGTTAAGAGAAATATTTTGACATAGCACGCTGTAAATAAGCGATATTCGAAACTTTGACCCTTTTGTGGGGGAGATACCAGAAGGAATGGTCCAATCTCTACCATCTTTATAACAGATCTTGTGTTGATGGACACATTGAGATGTTCGAAGTCTATTTGGAATCGGATGTTAATTTCCCGTTTTATGAGCTTCATGAATATTCAAAATTTTGAACCTTTGTAGGGGAGGTACCAGAAGAAATGAACCGATATATCCCATTTTCACAACAGACCTTGGGTTAATAAAAATATTGTGATGTGTGTAATTTGAAGATAACCGGATGCTTGTTTCGGATTTTAGTATCGTTTTGGTTATTCGAAACTCTGACCCTTTGTGGGGGAGGTACCAGAAGAAATGGTCCAATCTCTACCATCTTTATAACAGATATAAATACTGAGATGAGCCAAGTCTGAATGAAATCGGATGTTAATTTCGTGCTTTGTGAGCTTCATGGATATTCAAAATTTTGACCCTTTGTGTGGGAGGTGCGAGAAGGAGTGGGCCGATATATTCCATCTTCACACCAGACCTTGGGTTAAGAAAAATATTGTGATGTGTGATGCGGGCACTTATATCACATTTTATAACAGTTATAATTTTTCAAAATTAGGACCTTTTGTGGGGGAGGTACTGTATGGAGTGGACTGA